TTTGAGGGGAGGTCCGAGAATAATTGGAACCGCGACGATCTTTTCTTCGTGGTACTTGAGCTTTACATGCACCGATTTATTGTAGGCGCGATTCGATTTCTCCGGATGCAATTTTGCCACTCGAGTTAAAGCGCCCACAAGCGTGCATATACGTTTGAAAGATCCTTCGAACGAACTTGCCTGTAGAAGAGCAAAGCATTAAGGGAGGGAGAAAGAAAGAAAAGGAAGGAATGATCGAGTAAGCACGAAGCGAGTCACGGCGAGCCGATGTTGTTTCGAGAGGCGAGGGCTATAAAACGGGACGACGAATCGTTCTACGTTGGGAAAACAATGATCGACGATTAATTATCCAAGGTACTCCTTCACCCTCCCCCTCTCTCTCTCTCTCACTCTCTCTCTCTCTCTCCCGTCTGACGTATATATGTATATATGTACCTACATCGTAAGTACGTACTAACATGTGTACCTTCGAGATGAGATCTCGTTCCTCTTTTACATACATACATATACAAGCCACTCGATTCAGCTTAGCAACGCCAATCGAGAAACACATTCGCAAGTGCACGCACGTGGGAGCATTATTAATTATTCCGATCGTATTTTTCGATTTATACCTGATCGAGTTCGGTATTAAAGAGCGTAACCACGTTCGAACTTACGTAACTTACGTAAGCGAGTAAGTAATTAAGTAAGTAAGTACCTATGTTAGTACATAGCTACTTGGGGGAAATAATTAATTGTCACTAAAGGAAAAAGAAAGAAAAAAATAAATAAATAAATAAAAGAAATTCGAAATCAGAAAATTATAAAATGTATTATGTATATGCATTATCGTATCGAATCATTTATATTGATATGGTATTCATTTTTCATATTACGTGTTAATACGTATGCGATTATAAAAGAGTACGAAGGAACACAAGTGATATTAAATGGACACGATTGAAAATTTGAAGATGGTTCTATGATACTTTAAGATCATATATAACTAATTCAATTATCTCAATGAAGATAACAAAGTTATTATATGAATTAATATCGATGAACGATTCATATGTTATTTGTAACGAAGTTGATTTAATTAATCGTTATTTCTATAACAAATATAACATGGAATGAAGTTATTTAAAGAAATTGTTAAAGAAAAAATACATGCATAAGAAATTCTATGCGAAAAAAAGATAGAGAGAGAAAGAAAGAGAAACAGAGAAAGAGAGAGAGAGAGAGAGTGAGAGAGAGAGAGAGAGAGAGAGAGAGAGAGAAAGAAAATATGAGAATGAGATTAGTAAAGATGGCAAGAATGAAAATTAGATGGACCCAAAGATCCCTTTCTCTAATCCCATTCTAAACATATTTAAGATCGTAGAAACCGCGTGCATTCCAAAGTCAGCGGGTGTACTAATGAAGTCGTGAGATGTTTACAGCTCTAACAGTGACCATGAGAATGAGACGAGGACAGGGATATACCTAAGACTATATGGTATATATATATATATATATATATATATGCAGAAAGGGATAGAGATAAAGAGATATAGGATAGACAGAGCGGTAGAGGAAAGATGATTTAGATTCCAGCTAAACGATCTGTCTAAGCTCTCAGATATGACGGCTGAGTTCGACTCGAGTTCATCGCGCTGCTCACTCGGTATAATGGATTTAATGAGAAGCTAGCTGAGGGCCTGAAGGGTCCATACAGTGGGAGAACAGGAGAGAGAGAGAGAGAGAGAGAGAGAGAGAGAGAGAGAGAGAAGAGGGAAGGAACGTGGCATCAGTAGGAACGGCCTTCCGACTTTAGGACTTCTCTGAGGTAGCAGTTGGGGTTGTTCCTGAAGCCTCCGGCACCCTTCTCGCCCCTTTCCTGAGACGTGTACTATCTCTCTCTCTCTCTCTCTCTCTCTCTCTCTCTCTCTCTCTCTCTCTCTCTCTCTTACTCTCGCAAACTCTCGCACACACTTGCTCACCGCTCGACAGCATAATGGCCCTTCAGAGATCAGAAACAATGGCGTGCCTCTCGAGAGGATAATGACGGTGAAAATTGTCAGTTTGTCGTGCCGAGAGGCGTGCATAAGTCGGTAATCACCGTTCTCGCGAGCGCGTAAGAGAGAGAGAGAGAGAGAGAGAGAAAGAGAGAGAAAGAGGAGAGAGAGAGAGAGAGAACCGGGTGCCTTATTATCGTACGACTCGAAGGCGCTACCGTGTGCCTTCCTTTATCGGTACGAAAAGGAGACAGACGGACAGACCTTCCTCCTCCACTTCTTTTTTTTCCTCCTCTCGCTTTCTCTTTCTTTCTCTTTTTCTTTTCTTCTTCATCATCTAACTGCTCGTTAGGTCCTTTCCGTAACGAAAGTCCACCGTCATTGAAGTCTTCTCTCTCTCTCTCTCTCTCTCTCTCTCTTTCTCTCTTTTTCTCTGTCTTTCTTTTTCTTTCTCTTTCTCTTTTTCTCGTTCGTTGATCTTCACTCATCCAAATCTTTCTTTTTAATGGTCGCACGAGTTA